TCGATAGGTTGTGTTGGTAGGTTATGTTGGTAGGGTGTGTACATAGGTCGTGTATGTATGTCATGTACCAAGGTTCTGCACTCAAGTTGTGTACGGAGGAAGGTAGTAATTTGGATGAGGTCCTTTTGTGAAACATCGGGAAATCAATGAGCATTGGCTCAAGCAAGCCCGATTGCTGATGAGACACTGCATGTCAAAACCAGCCAATAATTCGCTTGCATCGAACCAATGCTGATAGGAGGCACTCCCAGACGGCAGTGCAGGCCAATGGCTTCATTTATTTGGACGTTATTTATTTGGTTATTAACATTGTCCACAACGACGCATTTAACGATCATATTTTTTATCGTGTAGAATTCCATAGTATCTCACTTGAACAAGCAGCAATGCTTAATCCCTTTACAGGTTCTGAATGTCAGTGATTGCAATTCCACGTCTCTATGGCAAGGGGCCAGTGTCTTCACGCCAAACAATCCCAGAGGGATCGTGGGCTGTGTTGATCCCCAAGCGGAATTTAAACTGACAACCTTTCCACTGTGAGTCGAGCACTCTGACCACGGGTCTACTTCTCTATGAATACATATTTGCATCCCCAGCAAGGCTCACTGAATTGCATTGCAAGATACTTGTGCACATTATTTCATTTTAATTTTACTTTGAGGAAGCACCTGAGTGGCGGGTATGTCGGACCTGTTCCTTTATTCATAACTAGCCTGTTGTCCGTCCTAGGACGGAAGCTGTAATATTAAGATGTACATTTCCGTGTTCTTGTGTGATTTAATTTTTTATAGGAATTTTTGCACGTAAATTAATTTTTCTTAACTTAAAAAAATGAATTTAAGGACTTTGCAAGATTTCTCGGTATACGATATTTTGAACACTTAACTGCATTTCACTGTAGCACTGTATTAATGGCAGTGATTCTTGCACAAAACTATATCATAAAACACGTCACTTCATGTCACTGTAGCACTGTATTTAATTGACCTTCAATTAGTTCAAAATCACTGCTCTGATACTTTATGTTCTTCTGCTTTCACTCACTGGGGTTGAAATTAATTTGAATTTGATACAATATTTGGAAAATCACGGAGAAATGTATATATTATCATTTAAAAGCAAAAATTTGACTTACCTTACGTTTCAAGTGCTGAAGAAATACATAAAGACAGCAAAAGCACTTTATTGCTGAGTATAATTACTTATTTTATAATATTTCAATAAAGAATCGTCAAATTTAAAGCGAATTTGCATAAAAAAAATTCTCCGCTCGACCTGGGGGAATGTAAAAATCCACCCGCTCATGATTATTTTATAATTAACGAGCAGGAAGTACCCGGCGTTGCCCGGGTCTTAAAATATTTCAAAACTACTCTTAAAAATGTAACAGCAGTGCGTAATGACTGTGGTGGTACCTGCTATGATGGCAGCAGTGCATATTGTGGTGGTACCTGCTATAATTACAGCAGTCCATACTGACTGTGGTGGTACCTGCTTTCACTGCAGCAGTGCATACTGTGGTGGTAGTTGCTATGATTACAGCTGTGCATAGTGTGGTGGTACCTGCTATGATTACAGCAGTGCATACTGTGGTGGTACCTGCTTTCACTGCAGCAGTGCATAACGACTGTGATGGTACCTGCTATGATTACATCAGTGCATAACGACTGTGATGGTACCTGCTATGATTACATCAGTGCATAACGACTGTGATGGTACCTGCTATGATTACAACAGTGCATACTGACTGTGGTGGTACCTGCTATCACTACAGCAGTGCATACCGACTGTGGTGGTACGTGCTATCACTACAGTAGTACATGCTGACAATATAGCATTATTTATCGACTGTATAGCACAAAGTACTCACCTGACAAAGTGGCGTAGTGAGGCCTAGTCCCGTGCAGAGCCTTCGGCCTCGCCTAGATTTTCCAACCGGTCGAGGTGGCACCTTGGCAGTCTGAGGCTGGGGTGCTACCCATGCCCCACCCCCACAGGCACGATGTCCCCGGCCGCTCTGCGGTAATATTTACGGCCTATGGTGGTAGCATCTACCGACTGTATAGTAGTAATAACTGCAGTATCGGGGTGGGGGGGGGGGGACATGAGACAGTGAAGAATTTACCTGAGCATTTAGTGTATTTTTATAGGATTTTTAACGCGACCTTCACTCCCACCGCCGAAGGCATGTGACTTGGCATGGGCCATCCTCCCCACCAAAGGCGCGTGAGTTGGTATGGTCGTGCACGTGTCGAAAATAAATAAATGGAAGCAAAGTGCACACAAATCGCAGTAAATCGCTATTTAAACTAATTTAAAGTTGACGGATGTGAAAAAGGATTAGCGCTTGCTGACCGTGGGGCTTATGGCGTGGTGCCTGGCTATTTTTTTTTCTGTAAACCCCACCATTGGAGAGCCAAGCGTGCGACCACACACAAACCCAGAAACCCACAATGTTTTACTTTTATATAGAAGATAGATAGAAGAAGATAGATGATGGGGGGGGGGGGGTGCGGCATTTGAAGTGACGTCACGCGCGTTACACACATTTCTGGGCTATTATAGTAGTAATGATCAGTCGCTATTGCCAGTGATCATTCTGATTTCCTAAGCAGCAACAACTTCCCATAATAACAACATGCACTTTGGTCGCGTGACACATTCTAGACAATGGACTTGTTTAATCTCCTGGCGTGACAGCTGAAGCCACGGTGCAAGCGTCGACAACTCACCACGCCTCTGTCCACGCAGCAGGTTGCATGCGGCTACTCCCACCTCTTCTAAAACGTTTGGCCCGTGTGGAAGAGCAGAACAAATTACTGCCTGGAGGGGCTCTGGAACGCTCTCTCTCATGAAGGCCCTTCCACCGGCAGTCACGTGAGCAGGCAATTTCAACGCTTGCGGCTTCGCCTTTCCAAGTGCGCACGGTGAGCGTGAAATGCGCAGTTGGGACTGCCGTGTGCACGAGCAGCCGATAGCACCTGGTTGAGACGAGCATCAACGGTGGGTTCATTGAGCAAGGTGACTGAACTGATATAATTGCTATGCCGAGACAATGTGGGCATTGACCCAGCGGAGCGGAAGCGCGTTTTCCGCCTGTCGCAGAACTTCGTGGTTCGAGACCAGTGGCCGCACCTGGTTAATACTGCGGAAGTTATACTGGATCATAAACAAAAAAAGTTTTTTCCTGGCTGCCGCTTGAGCAGGTGCACGTGTGCAGAGGTGACCTTATCTGCGCGATCTCAGGTCAGCCGCATCCCACTGTGTTAAGTCGTGTTCGTGAATCGTGCTGACATCAAGCCTGGCCCCTGGCCCCACTCTCCCTCCACCCCGGATGTGTATCCCGAGTAAATGCACGGGCAGTGCTCGTATTCACCAAGAAAACACGCAGTGTCTGTTTCACAGTGGACATTTCGTGATGTTGTGAAAAAATAGACAGCAACAAAGCCCCCCCCCCGCCCCCCATATTGTGAAACTACCGCAGACGATACTCGTCTGTGAAACATACCACCTTCGTGATTGCCCTGCGCTGTACAAATTCCGCGAATACCAAGTGTACTGATGACTTGAAGATTTGATTTGAATGTTTAATGCAGCAGTGTTACACTCTCATTAGACGGGTCCTTCTGGAACGCTACATTAATTTCAAAGTGGCTTCATCACGTGATGATAAAGCCATTGCCATCACATTCCAATTATTCAGTTAAACCTCTTACGATGCCATTCAGCCGGCGGTTCTGTTTGCAGAGCGCGTGACTCAAAATGATTAGTTCGAAAGTCAAATTCTGGTCATGGGGCCAATTCAACCCATCGTGCCTCACGGGTCCATGCAATGCATGTCACTTTGTAGGAGGTCAACAGTGGTTATTCTGGAGAAATTGGCTCAATGGGGAAGTGGGATTCCCGTCTCTGATCTCTAAGCCATGAGTGAGTACCACCTCATTCAATTAAAGGATTAAACTATTTTTTTATTTTAGCAGGTAAGGCCCACTGATATATATATACATAGCTCTTTTCAGAAGCGACCTGGCCACAAATGACAGCTCAACGAAGTGGCTCATCACGTGGAAATGTATAGCAGCCAAATACTCTGAACACATATTTATTCTGAATGTGGAGGGAAAAAACAGGAGGATCTGGGGGAAAATACACGCGACCACGGAGAGAGAGAACACGCAAACGCCAAATATACACGCATGAGAGTCGGCATCGAACCCACAACCTTTATAACAGGCGTTGCCTGCCACGACGAGCAAAGGCCAATGCCGAATCTCCACTGCCAGGCGCCAGTTTGCGTGTTTCCGCTGCAGAACTCGCGCCGCGCCGACTGACGTCACACGCAATGACCAATACGATTATCCCCGCCCCTCTGGCCCTGCTCGGCCCCCACGAGCCATATTCAGATGTTCTGTGAGGGCTAGGGTTTGGTTCTGGCTCAGTTCGGAAAATCATCATCATCAACATCACGATCCATGGGGAGATAGCCCGTAGGTATCCACCTCACATTTCGTTATTTGTTTCCACTTTTCTCTGTCTTGTGTCATTAATGCTCAAGTAGTGCACCTCTTTCTAGCTCCAATCGTTTCAGTCGTCAAGCCATTCTCTGTTAGGTCTTCCTCTCTTTGTGGTTCCTCCCATTTTTCCAAAACACATTTAATTTCCCTGTTGTCCTCCCGACATACGTGTCCAAATAGTACCAGTTTCCTTGGCATCACCACTTCCTTAGTTCGACAAATAGCCAGTGGAAACCCACCTGTACCGTGAAGGGCTCTGCGCCAGCCTGACTCTTACACGTCACGCACCACGATCTGAAAATGAAGTTTGTGGCCATGGAAAGCCACTTGCTTTAGTTCTCATCATCGCCACGGGCGGGATGCGTGCGTGCGGCGGGGGGGTGAGCTACCTCAAGGTGCACGTAGCCTGGCACAAGCACAGTGGCGGTGACGTCACCGCCACCCAGTGGCAAACGGCAGTCGTTGTTGTGGTTGTTGCCGTTGTACCTGCACAGGAGTGGGGAGGGCGGGGTGCTGGGCCGCGAGAGACCACGCGTGGAGAACGTCGACGGCGGGAAGGCAACGGAGAGGGCTGCCACCGTGGCCTGGTCGTGACGAAGGCCTCCGTCGTCCTCATCTGCCTCCGCGCTGCCTGCACACGCAGAGCGACGCGGTCTATCCGACGCGTCCCAGTTTTTGTCCGCACGCCCTTCCTCGACCCCGCTCAGAATTGAACCACGCAGGAGGTTACCTCTGAAGGGCAGGGTTTCATCAGTCGCTGAACTCTGGTTGAGCTCCCGTAACAAACACTGATGCCATTCCAAGAAAACAGAGGGAATAAAAGGCAAATGTATAACAATAACCGTTGTTTTGTTTCAGTCGCTGGGATGTACGACTGTCAGTGACAATATACACACATCCCTACGTCTCAATAGGTTCCTGAACGCTCAACCTCACTGCTATACATGCAGTTCCAAATGGTAGGAAACTGAGCTTAGTTGTGCTTTTAGTAAAAAAAAGTGTACTTATAGCGTTGTAAGGAATAGTCATATAAAAACTCTAAACAAAACACCTTACAAAAGGAAGAAAACATTCGGGTGGAGAAGAACATTGCATCTAGTAATTAAATTACCATTGCATAACCAGTGCTATATTATGTCCTAGATTTAAAGGAATGTAAGTGCATGAATAATACGTATTTTAATTAAAAAAAATGCTTTCAAAACTCAGGTGATGATGAGCATCCTCAGTCAAATTGACATAGTTCGGATTATTAGAATGTACGTGGAAATGCCCTCGACTCTAAGGGCCAAACTAAGGTAATGACATCGAGTAGACGAAGATAAATGTCACAAACCATCGCTCTTGCAACTGCCTATTCTGTCATTAGAATTCCGTTTCCTCTGGATTACAACGTACACCATCCCACCCCCTCGCTTGTATTTTAAGCAAAAGTTGTGGGCGCATATTAAAATATGGTAGACGTGTGTGTGTGACCAGATCTGTATTACATTATTCACACGGAGCAGAAATGTGGGATTTATATTAATAGTATTCCTATACACGCTCTGACAAAAGGTGACCTAAAAAGGTAACACTTACCAGAAGTTAACATTTACCAAAAGTTACATTTCCTATTAAATGTTTAACTAAATCACTCTTTTATTTATTTTACCCGGTAAGGCCCACTGAGCTATATAGCTCATTTTCAGAAGCGATCTGGCATAAATGATAGCCCAACTAAGTGGCTTATCACGTGTAAATATATAGCAGCCAAATACTCTAAACGCATTTTTCTAAACGAAGCGGGAAAAACCCGGAGGACCTAGAGAAAATCCCACGTATAATGGAGAGAGAGACATTCAAACTCCCAATATACAGTCGGGATGGAACCCACGACCTCCTCGATACCAGGTGAGGTAGTTCACATCTCGCCACCGTGGCCAGCCTACCTCGAATCTACCTCAAGTCTATTTTTCGTAAAGCTTACCCACACACACACACATCCGTGCACTGCTCTGTGCCACGACACTGCACACTTTGTTTTAACATGACCCCTCCCTCTCCCGTTCCCTTTTTTGGTTTTGTTACAATGCTGCTATTTCCGATGAATGTGGGATTGAATGGTGAAACAGAGAGGGGACAAAAAAAGATAAAGTACGCTCCGATAGACGAGGCAGTCCAAATCAGATTTGAATGCAGTCTCAGTGGTGGGAACAGGGCTGGGAAGAATGGCAGAAATTCTGGAGAAAAAAACTAGCCCGCTTTTTTTTTGTTCTCTCTCTCTCTCAGCCCTTTATTAACGCACACCGATTGCCGCGGAAGCAAGTCAATGAAAGAGGCTGCTTTGTTGCAGACATGCGTTTGACGTGAGGTTATTAAATTACAATGGCTTTTCGGTAAACTATTTGCCTGCCCAACCGCCCCCCCCCCCCGGCAGGTTTTGTAGGCTTTTTGGAAAACATTAAACGTTATCTTATCGAATTTTCAAACGGAAGTGCCACCGGCAGCCGTGAAAGCAATCTTTTCAAATGTATTCGTGTGCCATCATTTTTTATGCCACCCGATCTCGAAACTAAATGTTTGATTTAGAAATTAATAACACATTACTTTCTTTGTATGAACGGAAAAGTATAAGTTACGTAATAATTTGCCAACAATATATATTTTAGTTTTTATTTAAAAAAAGCCAGGAATTTATTATTTTGGGCGCAGTCCAAATATGTTAATAATGTGTTCATCACCAGGATTTAAATTTGAAGGTGGACGCAAAAAAAAGTAATGGTCTGACATTGCTGACCTTTTAAGAGTAATAATCAAATTCATTGTGGGGAAAAAAATGTATCCTGCCATTTCTAACTGGTGTGTGAGATCATCTCGCTATTTTCACAGTTAAACAATCTTTTGAGCTGCGAGAAAAGCTAACTTTCTAGCGACAATGAAGATATTCCTGCGATCTCACCATTCACAGGCAATTGCGTAACACGTGCGCTGCACGTGCCAGATCGCTATTTAACGAAGTGGATTGAAAATGAAAAGTTCTTCCTCGGAAGACTGATGGCTCAAGTGCAGTGATCTCCAAGAGAAACGCTGCATAAAAGTAGGAACGTTTAATCCAGCTACGTCATTGCTTTCTACATCAGGTCCGGGTGACCTTTGATCACCCCGTGTACCGAAAATATTTTAATTCCCTAAATCCACAGAAAATCCAATGCGTGACTCATAATTGGATGAAATTCCGACAGAGAGCATGTGTCCAAGGAGAATCACAGGCATTGCACGCAGAGGTCACGTTAATGTCAGAGACACATTGGTGCAACTTTAATAAACGCAGATTATGTTGTCTGTCTGTGTTAAAACCAAATAAAAGAAAAAATTACGTGCCACCTCTTTAGTTGAGAATGTATCATAATGTTGCTCAACTTTATGCGTACCCTTAGACGGTGGTGCTGCAGTGTAAGCATTTGACTCACATGTTGTGAGCCTAAGCCCCCGTCAGGGGTCCAACTCAGCCCATCATCCTCCTGGGATCAATGAGTTCCACTTTGTGGAAATCAATCATGGCTAGCCTGTAGAGAAACTGGCCCCACCATAGGGATGTGGAATTTCCATTCCCGAATCAAGGCCACCAATGGAGTTAGGGAAGACCTCACCCATATTTGTACTTCCACGTTTTATTTTTATTTATTTATTTTAGTGACTTACTTCACTTTTCTCTATCTCACTCTATCTCATTATTTGAAGGCCAATGTCGACAAATTATTATCGAGGCTTCACCCCCCCTCCCCCCACTACCGTTTCCTATGCGTACGCACATTGTCAGTAGAACCCCCGTACGCAAGCGAACGCTTTTGCTTTAACCCCCCATCCATGCGTACGTACTAAATGGATAGCCCCTAATGTGATTGTGGGATTATCAGGATCACGGAATCAGGCGGGGAGAGGGGGGAGCAGAGCCTTGATAGGCATCCAGGCTGGAAGCCAGGCCTTGTTCGACCTTGGCCAGCCCAGTGAAATCGCCATTGAAATGTATGGCCGAAGCCTAGGTAGTTATAATATTAGTATTTCAAAGGTGTTTGGGGTCAATACCGGTCGGCTAGTATTTGGGTAGATTCCAGCCAATCGGGATCAACCACATTTGCTATTGATACATATGGCTGAAGCCTAGTGCATGGAACTGAGCCAACTCCACACCGATTCCAGCGTGGTGTCCAGGTGAAGAAGGAGGTCTAAGCGGCCTGGCCAGGACAATGGATATGCCATTGAATTGAAATAAGGATTCTCTTCTGGGCGAATCCTAGGCTCTCAAAGTATCCCCATTGTCGTCAAAAGTTAATTCAGTGGTGGTGCATGCTTGTAATCTATTACTGTGGAGGCGAGGGTTGGTGGATAATGCCAATTGTTATGAAAATTCCTTCCTGTGGGCATCAAGGGGCTATACTCTAGCTCGCCAAGAGAAGATGGTGCGGCAAATGTGGACTCCGCCTGTTCCATCTGTGTGTGATAAAGTTGTTGTCCCCTCGCAAGCGTGGGTTCTTTTTCAAATCCTTTATATTAAATTCACTTGCTTGCTTGCTTGCGCGCTTACGACCGTGCAAATCTTTCGGTCGTTTTTTAACCCACTTCCCGTGATCCAATCGAGCTGACATTTTGCACACAGACTCGTTGTGCGTGCCAATTTATTTTCGTGAAATTTTTTTTCCAAAATTTGACACTTTTTAGGAATTGTTTTTAAATATTTAATTACCAATTGCTTAATGGTGGCAGGCAATCATCTGACCCATAGGTGGCAGCCATCTCAAGCCAGAGGACGAGAGGACTCTAGCCGCCACGCATATAAAGGATTTATAGTGAAAAACTTTGTTTTTTACGGGTTAATTTTTTCTGGGTGCTCTGGTTTCCTGACCGAAAACACCTGAATGCAAAGAGGACTGCAGACCTTGGGGAGCACTGGCTCACTGCCTGGCTGCCTTTCCTACTTGTCTGTGGTTCCACCTCGCACCTCTGATTTGTTCTCTCTCTTCGACAGTTAGCGAATACAGTGGGCATTTCAAGCAAAAATTATTATGATACCTGTGGTCTCCATAGAAATGAATGGGATTCTATTGGATGGCTTTTTGCGTGGCATAATCAGTGGCGTTATGAGGTTGCCAGGAGCCCCGGTGGAGCCATAGTTAAATGGAAGCCCCTGTCCACCTCGTCCGGAGCCTGAGCCACTGTGGCTTCTAGACCCCGGTTCAGTGGCATAGCCTGCAAGACTACTCGATCGCTACACCACGGGAGAGAATTCGTGTTCGAATTCCATTGAAGTGAACAGAGATTTTAACACGAGATTCGCGATTCCTGCAGGAATGGTTCAGGGTGGGAATCGTGGTATTTAGATAGAATTGCCTGCAGAAATTGTTTAAAAAGTGCTTTTTGCAGGAAAAAACAAACCTTCACTGAGTCTCAAGATTATTTTGCAGAGAGGGCCTGCATTGGGGTGCTTGGCCACATCCTTGTTAAAGGGGTTATTTCCCATGTGTGAAGAATCAGGAGAATCCAGAGCATATACATGCCATACTAAGGGGATAACATTGAAAGGTCCACACAGACCAATCTCAAATCCGTTTGCTTTACTGCCATCTCCCGGCCACCTCACAGACCAGTGGA